CTCAGGATGTCACAGCCCTGGGGTTCCCGGCTCTGCAGAGCTCCTTCCGCCTCAGACCAGCATCCTCTGGGGCTTTGGAGAAGTTTCCAAAGCACCTCTCTGGGTGTTTTCTCTCTTGGTCCTAACTGCCATTTAGCTTTTCTTCGTTTCTTTTGCTAATGGGTACACGCAGGCTCAAAGAGAGTGAGGGATTACCCTACCACACAGAGACAGACTTGGCCTTAGAGCCGAAGCTCCCAGACTCCTACTCCAGTGCTCTTTCCAAATGTGTCTGCCAGCACAGGCTCTCCCCTTGCTGAAAACCCCAGGCAATCACCGAGTCACCCGCAGCCACCCTGAAGCACACCTGCAGGACTTTACAGCCACGGACTCTGACGGCCAGAGGAATCTCATAACTCCTTGGCATGACCCTGCCCCTGTCTAACAGGCCCCAAGTCAAGAGAGGAGTGTTAGAAAGAAAGAAGGGGGTAACCAGTGATTTGTGGTTTGATTTCCCTGCAGGCACAAAGAAAAGGAAACTGACATTCGCTGATCGTGCTCATGTTGTTTAATCTCCTGAAAACCTATCCAGTCCCCCACTTTACAATGAGGAGATGCAAGCTCAGGGAGTTGCAGTTAGTGATGGAGCTAGGACTTGAACCCAGCTTTTCTGATTCCAGGGTGGACCCTCTTCATTTGGACAGATGAAGACGAGAGAGGGAAAGGGACTAGCCTAATGCCACACAGATTAGGTATGTGGCTAGGACTAGAATCTGACCTTCCTTCAGATTCTCAACTCAGGGCTTTTTTTGCTGTTGTTTCCTGTGAGTGTGTGCCTCTGTGTGTGTGTATGTGTGTGTGTGTGTACAGAAGTGGGATGGACCCCCAGGAAAATGTGGAGCCAGATCAAATTTGCAGAAGGGGTCACTGGTCCAGCAGCCCCGGCTGTCCTGGGCTTGCAGGCAGGAATTCCAGCTCAGCTTGCGGCAGGGGCTCCTGGCAAGAACTAGCGGGCCCCCAGCTGTGAGGGTAGTAGCAGAGCCAGGCTTGCTGCTGCCTTGGCCGAGGGCCTGGGGATGTTTCATCTCCCAGAGATGCTCCCTGAATGTTAGAGCTGGACATGGTGCCATGGAGAGCCTGGGTTAGCCCGTGGCTGGAACCCCTCCCCTGCACCAAGCCCGGCTCCTGCTAAGAAGTTGGGAGGGTTCTTCTGCTATGGAGGGCTGAGGCCTGGAGTCAGACCCTGACCATGGCCTTCAGATAGACCTGCTCAGCCACACCTGCTCCCAGGCCTCAGAGCCGGTGCCCATGCAATGGGCATTCTCTCGAGCCACTAGAAGGCAAGGTAGAGAGGGGTGATCAATGGGCCTTAAGTAGGAAACAAACATTTGAAAGGGGCCTGGACCAGCTGTGTGCCTTGTGAGGGCCACCTTGCAGATGGGTACAAAGTTACCAGCCCAGCAAGTGTCTGCCACTGTCTCCACACAAAGGGGCTGAGGGCACCTCACTGCAAAACTCAGTTAATTCTTTGTGGCTCCATTGGATTTGGTGAATAAATTCTTTCTAACCCCAGGGGCTCTGACCACTGAAGATGTGTCTTTGGTTTCCAGAATGCCTGGTATACAGTAAGTGCTCAAAGAAAGCAAGCAGGAGAAAATGAAGGGAGGGGAGCAGGCAGGCGGGAGAGGGAGGCTATAAGCAGAGGGACAGGGCTCTACTAATCCTTTGGTTACCCGCCCACAGCAGCAAGCCCACACACGGTAGGGACAAAGTCACAGCTACCTCCCAGGTGAGTGAGCCCTGACCTCGAGTTCCTCATTCATTCATTCTACAGAGATTTACTGAGCACCTTCTGCGTGCCAGGCACTGTGCCGGGTGCCAGGGACACTCACGAGTGAGCAAAATGGACCCAGCCTCCCCAGTCCCCAGTGTCACCGCTGTTCCCCCATCGCCAGGGCCCTGGCTTGGTGACATGGAGAGGGGAAGGGTGCCAGGCTGCCTCAAACGACAGACCCACCCCACCCCATGCCAGGGCACTGCTCCCAGAGTCTCACTCTGCCTCGCTGTGTCCCAGAATGACCAAAAGTGGGATGGGGGAGGGGGTCAGCAACAACGTTCCTGGAATTTCTAACTCAACTTCTTGTAAGCTCCGCATCCCACCTAGGTGCCCAGGCCCCTGGCCGGGCAGGCGGGCGCCTCTGATTGCATTACGGAGCTGCTTTCCTTCAGCCTGTCTCCTGATGCCAGCAGTGCCTCCAGACGCCGCTCCGGGCCTCTGGGGAGTGCAGGCTCCCGGGTGATCTCGGCAGAAACGTTCATCCCAGACCTCGGAGATGCCTCCTGGGCCAGGGCAGGTCCAGATGGGTACCGGGAACCAGAAAAGGCAGCCTCTCTTCTCTCCCTGCCCTTCTCCCTGGCACTCTGGCCAACCCGGAGGCTGCTACGTGGGGACTCTGTGTCCCCCTGGCTCTCCGGCCCAGAGATGTACAGGGAGAGACTGTGGGCCCAGCCCAGCAGGGGTCGGCCAGACTGGGGGTTGGGGGAGGGGCAGGAAGAGGAGGGAGACAATGGACACCAATGGCGCACCCACTCTGCGCAGGACTGCACTGTGCGCTAGTTCAGGTCACACCACCCACGGTGCAGGCATTGTTACCCTGCCCATCCCGTGAACAGGGAAGCTGAGGTGCAGAGAGGGGGAGCCACCCGCTCCTTCCCCAAGGGCTGGTCAAGCCCCATCTTTCACCAGGAAGTTTTCCCTGAACACCCAGGCCCACAGCAGCCCCCTCTCAACATCACAGGCATTTCTACTGCACCCCCAATATGTGGTGCCACAACGACAATGACAACGGCGAATGACACTGGGCACTTTAGGATGTACAAAGAGCCTTTGTGTATTATTTATCCCCAAACAATCTGATGAGATTGGTGCTATTACTACTCCCATTTTACAAATAAAGAAACCAAAGCTCAGAGAGGCTAGGCAACTTGCTCTAGGACACACAGCCATCTGGTGGCACAGCCGGGATTTGAACGCAAGCAGTCTGACAGCAGAGCCTGCCCTCTAAACACCACCCGCCTCCTGGTATAGACACATGTTGGCTCGTGCTTGAGGGGGTTCCTCTCTTTGCATCACCATATACGCCCCCAGCATCAGAGGCCTGGCACATGGCTCATGCTTCAAGAAGTAACACCAGGCCCACCATTCTTCGATGGTCAAGCCCGTGTTTTTCCACCTCTGAGCCCAGAGCCCAGTGCTTGCTCAGACTGAATAAATGTGCACGTGCACCTGCTTTAGGGCTGGACCAGTGTTCCAATACCCAATGTGGGGACAGGATCCTCATACCCCACCCTCAAGATCAGCATCCCCTTTCCCCTGAGATGAAGCAGCCAACGGCAAGGGGCCAGGTCCGGGAGTCTGTTCCTATCACACATTCCACAGGGTCCCCTTGAGCCTTGGAGGGGTGGGGGGATGGGGACCAAGTGCTTCTCCCCCCCACATTCCCAGGATGGCTCCTCAGTGAGGTCCTCCTCGGCCTGCTGGGCCCTGCCTGGCGTCTGGGGCTCTGATACAGGAGATGCCTATGGAGCAGGAAAAGGGGACCGAGGTCCTGGAGGGTGATTTATGGCTTCGGAGAGATGGATGGAGAGAGAGAGAGACATCCAGGGCCTCGTAATGCGCACAAGGGCATTCCAGTCAATATATTGACTTTCCGGAAGGGCCTCTGTAAACACAAGTGGTTCTGGGCCTCGGCTACCTCTGTTTCTTGCTAGCTGCTGGGGCCTCTTCAGATAGAACCAGACAAAAAACCCACATCCATTAAGGATCATCCTTCCACCTCTCCCCCACTCCAAGCTCACAGACAGGGAGGGAGGCCAAGCAACCAGGACCCAGAGAGGGAAAGGCACTTGCCCAAGGTCACACAGTAGATGAAGGGCAAGAGCCAGAGTTTCCTAACTCCTAGGCCAGGAGTGCTGAGCGTCCCTGCCCTCACTCTCTTGGAGGAGGACGACTCTGCTCGCAGGTTCTCCCCGGAGCAGGCTGTGCAGTCAACAGTCCCAGAGTGCTCACTGCGTGTGGGGCACCATGCTAAGGGCTTCATCACACACCAGCTCGTGAGATCCTCAAAGCAACTCCATCAGGATGATATTGGTATCACCCCCACTTTGCAGATGAGCAAACAGAGGCACAGCGCAGTTCGGTGAGCTGCCCGAGGCCACCCGGTTTGTGAGTGACAATGCTGGGAGGCTATGTTAACCTCAAAATTCCAGCTGGCCATGCCATGCACCCTTTTGCACCTGCAGCAAAGGCCCTGGGGAGGGGCCTCTGTGAAGAGGGGTCTGCGGGGACAGAGCAGCTGGGGACTTCCCAGAGGTGGTGATGACAAGTGAGCCTTCCCCTCCGGAAGTGGCTGGGCCGAGGATGCCGCCCTTCCCTGGCGGAGGCACGGCAGAAGGCAGAGGAACACCTCCCCGGGCCCCACCCCTACACCGTCCCTACCAGTGATTAAAAAGCAATTTCTGGGCTCACTCCATTTTCAAGAGCCACAGAGAGGGACCAAAGGATAAGAAATCTTTTGGTCTCAAGCCCCTTCCCCAGGTCCTGGCTCAGGGAATCAGAAGTAGCTGAGAGGGCTGGCCCCAACGCACACAGTTGAACCGGGGTGCTGGGAGGGGAAACGGGCCAGGGGCTTGGTTCCCCAGGGGTCAGGGCCCACCCCAAGAGGACTCTAGCCAGAGCAGATGCTGAGAGGCCAAACTTCCTGAGGGGGGCAAGGTCAGGCTGGCACCCTTGCCAGGTGCCCAGCTAGCTAAGCCTCCACCCCATCCTCGCTCAGAAGGACCTGGGAGGAGAGTCAGGGTCTGGCCCTTGTCACCCCCTCCCAGGAAGCCCCAAGGCTTAGCATCTCTACTCTTTGCTGTGCTCCTCACTGCATACTGCTGTTGTCCTCATGTGGCATCTAGGACTCTCTGAATGCCATTTCTGGAGTGGAATTAGCACCCTACCCCCAGTAGTGACCTACCTCTCAAGGTATTAAGGCCAGGGCCACTTAGGGGTTCTGCCCTATGTCCTGGTCCTGCCTCTCCAGCCTCCTGAGTGGGCATCCACCTCCCTGGTGGGGTGCTCACAGGGACAAAGTGAGGTTCCACAAATGAAAGGTTCTGTAAACCGTAAAGCAACACGCACATTGCTAAGGTCATTGACTTTCCCGCAGGCCTGCCTGCTCCAGAATGGCACACCTTACCCTAGACTTACAGTGATCCTAGTCCCTTGTATGGGCACACCTAGGCGAGCAGAGGAGCTCTTGGAGGACCAAGGAAGTGGTAGGGACGGTGAGTCCGGCACGTGTGTTTGCATGAGTGTGTCCACTTTCCATTGCTTCCACTGAGAGTCCAGGCCCCAGCCACGCCTGCCGGCTCTCCTTTAGGGATCCACTCACTCACGCTCTGCTGGCCCCTTCCTTCTTTGGCAAATTCCAGAGGAGCCCTCACTCCTCCTGGAGGGAGATGAGCTGAAGCAGGAGCTGACTCAGGTCAGAGAGCAGATCTCCAAACCACAGAGCCCGTCCCACTGCCCTGGGTACGCTGGGAGCTGACTGCAGGAGACTGGGGGTCTGGGACCCAGGTCCTTCTAGGGGCAGGAGCCCAAGCTCAAGGGCTAGCTTAGGGCCCATGTATGCCCAACCTTCCTCCCTCTGGAGCACCACGACCCACCTGCAGGCAGGCCCGCTCCATCTGCCCGGGGCAGGGGAAGCCCTCCTGTGCCTTTCCAACAGCAGAACCCGGCACTCAGGCCACACCCGCTGTCTGTCCCAGGTGCAGGGCAGAATGAGGTCTCCTTACGCTGAAGGGCAGATGGCCTGGGTCCCATCCTGAAGAGGAATCCCCGACACAATACAACGGATGGAGCTTCCCATGCCTGGTGGTGACTCACTGTCGCCACATACACATACCTATTTATACACAAGCACACACACCCAAACACACACGCAGCCGTATACACCACACACCCCATATACAAAAGGCACAACCGGCTCCAACACACACATCCATCTCCCGCACACACCCCACGCACACCGCACCTCCACACAGGACTAACACCCAACACAACACCACGCCCACCTCCCCTGCCACCGCACACTCCCACCCCCACCCACCTCAATGCACATGCTCGCCCCTACACACTCTTTAATACATACTCTCACACCCACAGGCCTGCCTTCCCTGAAAACACAGCCGTGCAGCGCCGGGAAGTTGCGAGGCGCTGGGGGCAGCCTGTTCTGCGAGGTGAGAAGGAGGGGGCTCAGCGAGGCGGTGATGGCGTTAGAGCTCCCAGGGCTCCTGCAGACCGATTTAGCTCGGCTGGGGAGGGAGGTGGCGAGGGGGACGAGGGGTGCAGGAGATGGGGGGGGGCTGCTAGCAGCAGGGAATCCAGCCCCCCAGCTGCGGAGGGGCTACCCAGGCAGCTTTGCCCAGAAGGGGAAATGGACCCCCCAGTGCTTTTGGAGGGAATAAAGAGGAAACAAAGGGGGGGGCGGGGAGCCGGCTGATTTATGCCTGCACTTCAGCAAATATTTTCGCTGCTATTAGCATCGCGGAAGGCAGGAGCCAGGAGAAAGGGCGCCGTGGGGACCTGTGGCTGAGCGCGCTGCGCCCGGGCTTGTCTGCCCGCGGGGGCGCCGCGCCTGGCCGGCCGGAGCTCCACGCCAGCGCCACCCAGCTCTGGTGCCAGCCTTCTCCCAAAAAGCCCCAGGAGGGGCTCACCTGGCCCCGGGCTCACCAAAACGCGGCGCCTCGGTGGAGCGCAGGCCCGAAGGGGGCAGGAGGTGGCGCCCCAGCCCCAACTTGGGAGCCCCGCTCCAGCGGAGGGGCGCGCCCTGCCCTGGCCTGCGCAAACTGCCCTCTCCCGGTATTATTCTAATTACGGTACTTTAAATTTCCTTAAAAAGAAAAGAAAAGAAACAGAAAAGCACAGAACACACTTGTTTGGTTTCATTTTGCCTTCACAGCTTTAATGACTCTATTTGTGGAAGCTGTTTAGAAAGCTGGTGAGAAGGAGGAGGATGCCAAGAGAAGCGCTCTGGCCTGGGGCTGCTCTCTCCTCCCTGCCCTCTGGGGCAGCTGCTGTCCTGGGCCCAGGGCCACCAACCCCAAGTCCCACTCTAACACCTGGCCCCTCCACCCTTTTTTTGCAGGCCTTAGTGGGCTCCAAGTTGTCTCTTTTTGAACCAACCCTAGCCCTGAGGTTCAAAATACCTTCTGTGTAGCTGGCAGGCCCTGGGGAAGGCTCTCAGGGCTGTCCCTTCAGAATCCCTGACCTTGCTCTCTAAGCACTGGGAGTAGAGGGATCCATCTCCCCCCATCACCCCTGAAATCCTAGGCAGCCCCCAACCCTCCTCAGAAAACCTCCAGTGGCTCAGGGAAGGGCAGGTGGGAGGCAGACCCCATCTTAGGCCTGACATCCTGCGACTGGGGTGGCAGGACCTTCATTCAGTCCAGGAGAAACTCAATAACAAAGAGGGATGGAAAGGGCATTGGCTCCCAAAGCTTCAAAATAAAAACTAAAAACATATTCTGTCCCCAATATACAAATGGGTGCAGAGCTCTAAAATGCTAACATTTGCAGCCCAGGGGAGTTTGGCTTGTGATTTGTCTGAACTTCCCCAGGACAAGGTAGTGGCTCAGAAGATCAATGCTTGGGGGGCAGGGGGACCGGGAACACCTCTGGGCACTTGCCTGGTCTCAGAGCTTCACTGCTGTCCTTTGGCCCTGCCCCTTCCACCTCTCCTGTGTCCATGCTTTCCCCCACCCAGCTACAAGTCCAGTCTAGCAAAGCTATCTTAACTGTAGCTGCCTGCCTTAGGTGGCGCTTCAACTTCGGAACCATGACTGTGGATCTCCAGCCCAGGTGGAATGAAGGAGCCCAAAGCACTAGACTGACGTTTGTGAGGCCCGAGCTCAAATCCTGGCTCTACCCCCAAGTCCCAATATGACTCCTCAAGTCTCAATATGATCCCCAAGTCCCAATATGACCCCCAAGTCCCAATGTGATGCCGCCCAAGTTGGGCCTGTCCCAAAGCTTCAACAGTGAAATAAGTGGATTGGAAACGAGAGGAATTTTTATTTTAAATTTTATCCTACAGAACTTCCTGTTTGGTGGTGGGGAGGGGAAAGAGGCAGAGGAGAGGATAGTAGGAGAAATACCTCCCCTGCAGGGGTACTTTCATTTTAATGAGAAAACCCATTAAGACACTTGACTTTCCATTTGTTTAAGTGAGATGGGTGTTTGCTAGAGTGAGTGTAGAGGGCGACAAGGAGGACAGCCCATCACACACACTCACACACACATATACACACGCACACCAAGCAGAGATGCTAGAAAAACTCTGGTTTTAATTGCACTTTAAAGAGAAGAATTATCATGACACCTCTGCTCCTTCTCAACCATCCCAGCCAGAGGCCAAGGAAAGGCTCATTAAAAGCTCCAGGAAGGGCTGAGGGTTCAGGTGGGAGGAGATTTCCAGGGCCAACTAAAGCTTTTGAAGTGGCCTCTCCTGGCCAGTCACTTGCTGACATCTCCTTGTAGGGTTGGGGTTTTATGGTTCCAGTTTTGATTTGTCCACCAACAGACTTATTTTATGGCTTAAAAAAATTCTTGGTGCTATTAAGGGGAGCTCATTCCCATATTCATGGGGGAAAAGAGAGAGGTGCCCATCACTTGAGGGGAGCTGGGACACGCCCAGGAAAGAGCCCTCTCTGTAGAAACGGCCTTCCCAGCCTTAGCTCAATCTGAGGCTGACGGCAGAGGGGTGGATGAGGACGGGAGGAAGGATCCAACGGGGTCTGCATCAGCCTGGCTACTGGACAGGAGCCCTGCATGCAAGTCTTCGATCTGTGGTCGAGTGAAGGCGAGAGTTGGGGAAAGCCAGCACGCTGGCCTTGGTTTTCCCCGTCAGTAAAATGGGATTCATGAGGGATCCACTGGAAAAGTCCAAAGAACATCTGAAAGAAAGATGCTCTGTGCCTGTGGCATTGGAGAAAAGAGATTGTGTGGGAGGGAGTGGCATGTCCCCTCTCCGAAGGCAGGTTTCTAAGGGCCATACATTCTGGGCAATGAGAAGGCTGCAGGCCAACCCCACCAGCTGGCCCCTCTCCAGGCTGGTGGGCAGGCCGCTCCTGCCGCGCTAAGTAATGAGCACAATTCCAACACCACCGCTTCTGCTCGCTAGTGAGAAATCAAAGCCGGGTATTAGAGGCCATTTCTCATTGGGCACCGTTGGTGCCCAAATCCATCAAAGCCCTGGGCCTGGGGTTTCTTCTGGGGAAGGTGGGGGCTGGCTGCTTTGTTAAGTGGGAAAGGCAGGCCGCCTCCAGCCTTCCTGGCCAAGCCCACCCAGCCAGAGAACGACGGGGCAACCAGTCTTGTCTTTCTCCTGCCTACCAGAGCCTCCCCCGCCCCCAACTCCCAGTAACCTCAGGATTTATTCCTGATCCCACTGCCCTGCTGGTTCAGAAACAGTTTCCCAAGACTCAACCCTGCCCATGTGCCATTTACAGAGACTTAAGTTCTTCAATTACCTCCTTAAACACCCTCAAACCAGAAACCAACACCCCGTCCCAGGCCCTCCCTCCCACGTCTAACTAACGCCCTTTAAAACAAGGTCGGTCAATTCAGCAGCCGGCCTGCCCCCTCCCCATCATTACCTTCCAACTTCAAAACACTGCTGTAAATACCAGAGTCTGCCCAAATCATAATTAACTTGGATCAAATGATTGAGTGGCGTAACTTTACAGTACAGGGCTTGCAAAAAAAAAAAAAAAAAGTGAGGTGCTAAAACCAAGCCCTCACTCCTGGCCGTGGGAATTATTAATTCCAAAAAACGAGCAATCTTTGGCTGTGGGGGTGGGGGAAGGGCGGATGTCAACATCGCAGCGGAAGGTGGTGAGGAGGGACAGCGTCATCGCGTCCTTTCTGCTCCAGTTTTCCTGCCCCATCCTCAGCCTCAACTCAGAGAGGACTCCGTGCAGGATGGCCTGCCCCGCCCGCACCCTGCTCCGGAGCAGCCGAGCCTCCAGGCGGCTGCAGCCAGCCCACCCGCTTGGGTTCCGGTACCAGAGAGAGGCTGGCTCCAGTGAGTCCACTGGCTGCCCGGGAAGACGCAGCCGTCAGTAACGCCTGGTCCAGCTACAGGACGAGCGAGACACGTACACATCCACGGCAGGAGAGGAGGGCTGGGGATTTTAAGAGCCCACCAACCCTCTGAAGGCACCGTGCTGGGTCCAGAGCGGGCGCCGTAGAGAGGAGAGCGCACCTACTCACTTCCCCGGACAGTGAGAATGTCAGTGACCCCTTTAAAGGGAAACTCGGCAGGATCGCTACGTACCTCCGCCCCCTTCCAACAAACACACCAACACCCAGAAAAAAAAAATCCCTCCAGACCCGCGGGCCCCGCGGTCTCGGGGAAAGCTATGTGTGCGGAATTTAGCTCTCCCCATTTCAGTAGCCAAAGCCCTTCCACCCGGCCTCCCCCAGCGGGCAGAGCGCATCGCGCGCTTCCCGTACTCCGCAAGTCTGTCCACCCTCCCTCTGTCCTGCGGGTCCCGTCCGTGCAGCGCGCCAGAGCCTGGGCGAGCCGGGACCCGGACCGGGACTAGGAAGTTACCAGCGGGAGGCAGCGGGCGCGCACCTTGCCTGTGCAGCCACAGGATTTTTTTTTTTTTTTCCGGCGCCGAAGCCAGGAGCGCTGGGAGCCAGGTGTCCCCTGGAGGCGGGTCCTCCCGGAGACTCAGACCCCGACTCCGACACCCGTTCCAGGGAAAAGCAGCTATCCCTTCCAGGCAGGAGTAGGAAGCTTCCCCATTACTGTGAACCCCCTGACCTGCGGCCCCAGCGAAGTGGCTGCGCCATCGCCCACTTCGGTGGGCAGAGAAATCTGCCTTCTAACTTGGGTGCTCCTGCCGCTCCCCTGCGCGCATCGACGCGGAGAAGGACCACCTCAAGTTCAGCGGAGAGTGAGGCGCAAGGGTCCCCTCGCCCTGTCCCCAGGCCCGATCGCTCCCTACCTGCGTGGCTCAGCCTCAGGTCCCAGCAGAGC